ATTATTATGAATCAAAATTGTTTGAAACCTTAAACTTCTCGGCATGGTTCCGCTACATAGACGATACATTTACCCTGTTTGAAGGTAATAAAGATGTTTAAATAAAGTTCTTAAATAAAGATCCTGCTATTCAGTTCACTTTTGAACTTGAGACTTGCAATTCTCTTCCGTTTCTCGACATTCTGGTCACACGTAACATATTCAACTTCAGTACTACGGTTTACAGTAAACCTTCATCAGTTTGCCTTCCACCACACTTTAAATCATGTCATCCGACTAAACAAAAGTTAGCTTCATTTTATTCCTATGTTTTCCGCGCTCTTCAAGTTTGCTTCTCCAAACTAGCCCTTGAGGAAGAACTAAATTATTTAAAAGCAATAGCTCTTGACAGGGGCTTTTCACCCAATATTATTAATCAAGCAGTTAAATAATTCTCATCTCAACACACTAAAAAGCACACTCTTGTTTTAGGAGATTATAAAAAATCTGTTGTCATTCCCTTCTTTCCATCAATTAGCTATAAAGTTGCACATATTTTGCAGAAATTTAACTTTCGGGTTGTTTATTCTCCCGTCAATAAAATTCCGAGTTCCATACTCAAGGACCCATTCCGGATAGGAATTTCTGGGGTATTTATAGGATTCCTTGCCAGTGCGGTTTAATTTACATTGGCCAAACTAAGAGAGCCTTAAAATTTCGCGTCAAGGAACATGAGGCATATGTTAGAAAAAAGGAAACACAGAAGTCTTCTGTTACTCAACATTGTTGGTCCGAAAATCATACTTTCAATTTCTCTGCTGCCAAAATTATTCAAAAAACATCTTCCATTGGAGAACTGGATTTTCTAGAGAAATTTCACATTCATAAAAATCTTTCTGTTCTAGTTAATGATCCTAATTCCAATCCAAATTTGCCTTCGCCCTTTAAAGAAATTATGTTTTAGTTCTGGTTTCACCAACAGATGACACCACTTGCTTATTCTTGTCCAGACGTTCTTATCTTATCTAATCATTATTTCCTATCTTGTTTATTTGCGGTTTTGCAGCTGAGGATGGTGGTTCGGTAAAACCATCGAAACTACTCCTGTGAAAATTTTATAAATATAACTCTGATTTTTGTTGTTTGACTTCTGAATTAATACCTGCTATAATGAGCTGGAACGTAAATAACAGAAATAAGGTGGAATCCTCTTTATGTGAATACAGTATAGTCTTCTGAAACGTTTGAATTTTTAAACAAGATTTCTCTTAAGAAAAAGGACTGTGGAATATTCTTTTACATATATGTGCCTTTCCTCTTTTAACTGCAATAAAGTAACAGTTTTCCCTTCAAATTTTAAAAAACGATCTCATTTGTTAAATTAACTTCTTTCTACTTTTCGTAAGATTTTCGAGTGTTAAAAACGGTTTTTATTTTAGTTTTCTTTGAAATCAATTAAAAAACGCATTAATGCCTCTTATAACTTTCCTTTACCATTTCGTTTCTCAATAGTATTCATATATATTGCAGATATATTTCGATAGTATATCTTGAAATTGAGTAGCTTTTGTTTTGTTAACGAGAAAAAGGCATTTAAAACTACACGTAGATATTGTCTATCATAACCATAATGTAGTTATGGTCTGTCATTAAATAATAAAGAATCACTGTGTATGTAATGTAATGTTTGTTTTTCTTCTTGCAACGTTGTAAAACAGCGACAACTAGAACCGTCAAATTTAAATAAATTAAAATAGTCTTTGGCCTGATCATGTGAACCTTGAACCAGAATTTTGAACTTCGTTTTTATTCATTTCATATTTTGTACGAATTTAAGAATTTTTCATCAACAAACGCTATTAAATAGCTGACTACCGGTAAAGTGTAAGAAATTTATGTTTTAAATTTAATCAGAAAACTCAGCGATTTAAAAGAAATGGTTTATCCTTCGATAAAGAATAAGCTATTTAAGTTTTAAATATTATAATGAAACTCAGCGACTTCATAGAAAATGTGATGAGAATGCTCAGAGTAGAATAATTTTGTCTTTCATGTGCCAGTGTGTTGTCGTTCGGTAATGCGTAAAAAGCTCAATTTTTCTTTCATACTAAACTGTGTGTTATTAATTTGCAAACTAAACCATTTAAAAGCAATAAACGCTGTTCAACATGTGTATTCTTGTTAATGATTAGCTCGACTCGTGACATGACACTCGCTGAGCTCATTAAATTCATGATATATATTTTCCTTTTTATAATAACGGTTTTAGGCAGCTGACCACACAAGGGGCTAGTTTACGTAGTAAAACTAAGCATACTATTTGTTTTAATTGCTTTGGAATATGTCTAACTGTTATATCGCTTTCATTTTATATGAATCCACCATTTTTGAGTTTTATTCCAATAGAAATCTATCAGTGTAAATTGACCTATAATACACACCTCGTGTAGAAGGAGACATTTAATTCATGTACGGAACATATGCATAGAGGTATGCATGTATAAGTATTCTAAAGTTATAAATAACATATAGCTTGCGTGTTTTTTATAGGAGCCAAATCAGGTGTACTATACACCGTTTCCATAAAAGTTCTTACCCAACCTTTATTTTCCCAACCGTTGCGGAAATAGAGTGTTTCATTTTTCCAAATATGTGATTTTCATATGACTTCGCTTATGCTCCAAATCTCAGTCATGTAAAGGACATACATGCTAAATTTGAAGAAGATTGGATAAGAGTTAGGAGTTGTACATATTGATCACTTTTATCTCAGACTGGTGAAATTTCTAATATTGAACTGCTTTATACTAATGGGCTTCTCGTGTATTTCTCAAAAATTTCCGCGTCTTCAGGTAGCGTTTACCGAGCTCGGGTTATTATTAGAAGTAAAATGGCAAATAAAAACCGAACAGCCATTGTTTGAAAATTCTTGTAATCTGTTGTTGCATTGGGATAGTAAACTGCTGCGCACAGTTGCCCAATGGATTTTCAAAAATTTGGAAGATATAGTTGCAGTTCTACCGACTGACAAAGATTTTAAGCATTTACTTTTTCTACTTGTTGCCCTAAAAGGCAGTGGTGAGAAGATGGCTGAAACAGTCCTTCGAATGGTTTGGAATGATTTGTGGAATGATTTGGACTACGTCTTTTGATACTACAGCATCTTATCCAGGATTAATTCAAGGGGTATATACTAGAATCCAAAGCGAATTTGGAAGAACATTTTTTTGGTTGATTTGCCGTCATTATGCTCATGAACTAATATTGAAAGGAGTGTTTTAGGAGTGTTGTATCACAGCATGGTATGCTCCTGACATCCAAATTTTTCGGAAGTTCCAAAGTCTGTGGGCTTCACTTGATAATAAATCATACATAACAATGCTGGATGAAGAAAGTCCCATTCAAGGCTTTCTGGAAGAACAACAAGTTAAAATAGTTAATTACATCCAAAATGTCCTAAAGTTGTCAAAGAAAAGACTAAAAAGAGTTATTTCAACTCTCAGTCCTGCACCTTGGTCTCAAAACTACTTCGGTTTCCGGATACGAGAGGTTCTGCGTTAAGCAAGATGGATGGCAAAGGTAATATACGCTAATATAAAAGTCTTCTTCACTAAGCAGTTGAATATTCTTGAACGAGAATTGAAAGTAATGAAACAGGTTGCATATTTAGTCAGCCTTATACATGTTCGCTTTTAGTACGAGACAACTGTAAGTCAGTGGTCTCCAAAGAATGATCTGGAGCTTACCCAGCTTCTGAAGTTCAAAATCAGTTTATGGTTTGGAGCTTCTCAGAGCATACCAAGATGTAGACATAAAAAACGTGCTATTACAGTTGCTAAGAGACACCTTTGGTATCTGTTAGAAACAAACGTAAGATTGGCTTTTGTGGACAAACGTATTATTCAGGTTGATAAGGAAATATGACTAAAATTTGGAAACCAAACCAGCAAATGAAATGACTAGAAGGTAAAAACCTAGTTTTTAAAGGAAAATACGAGCCATTTTGTTACTAATAAAACAAAGACGTTCATTCCTTGAATTGTTTGGGATCCATGACGTAACGGAATACTGTAGTGATTCTCTAAGAAACTCATGTGAAATCTCTTAAGGTTGGTCAGTGACACCGCAGAAAGAGGTGTTGCTCTGATAAAAATAGTTTAGCGAATCGGTCTGTCAAATCGAGCATCACAGGAAAAGATTTCGCCCAGCGAACAAAAGAAAGGATTGCATAGTTCAAAGTTGATTAATATAACAAGGTGTTTTGTCTGTCATTCTACCTTTTAATCATAGTGGCTAGTTTTAACACTATTAAATTACTAAAGTTTAAAACACTGATTTCTAGTTTTCGCAATGAAAGGATTAACACTGAAAAATCATGTTTTTTGCCTACTTTTTCAAAACTGATCAAAGTGTGCAACCCCTAAATATTAAAAACGACGAAAACATTCGTATATTAGCATTTTTAAATTAAAAAATTAATTTCGTTTAAAATACGAAATATAACCATTACACATTTATCTGGTCCCTAAACTTATATTTAGAAAATTTTGTACTCGTTATAAAATACAAAAAAAAAAAAAAAAAAAAAAAAAAAAAAAATCTGCATAATCTTTCTAATAAAGCAAAATAATTATTTTCCGACATTGCGTGTTGCACTAAGTCTTACCGAATTCAAAGATCATTGGAGACTTCCGTTAAGTTTCACAGCAGTTATGTTTATTAAAGGAATTAAATCTTGTGTAATTAATGAGCCATGATTAAATGTTATGTATGCCCTTCCTTCGACATATTTTAAATATGCATTTGAAGTGATTCTAATGCAGCTATGTGATTAATTGTGTATCCATTGTTTATGTTTATTCATCTTACTGTTTACATTTGTTTTTATCTGATTATTTTTCTGATAATTTATTACCCAAAAAACCTGCAAATTGTTTTTTGGTAACTATAATGCTTGTTTGTTTGCATTTAGTTTATGTATGTATGGTAAAATTATTGCAAAAATTTCTTTTATTTTCTAGGTAAGAAATTTGTTTCATCCTGGGATCGAGGATATGAGAAAGCTGAGCCATATTTCTTTTAAGAGTATTGAATAACTTCAACCAAGTATTATAGCTAATACATTTTATAATATGCCTGAGGTTTATCGATCATTATTCCGTTAAAAAATTGTATTATTTTATTGACAAAAGTTTAAGTAATACTGAGAGAAATTTATAAAATTAAAACTTTTATATGCTTAGAAATGTTTTCAGTTTCCGTCATTTTCAACATCATTATACATAAAAAACGAAAAATTAAAAGTTAAGTAAAAAAAAGGCTTCTTTTTCAAAAGAAAGTGAAAAAAATGTCAATACATTTAAAGCACCATGCACTGGTTATGACACAGAAAGCGTTTAAAAAAGCATGTATAATTAATATCAACCCTCTTTGTCCCAGAAGTCATAGATCTATACAAGTTTTATTATCTCCAAAACACTGCTTACAATTTTCTTGTTAGCATATTAATTCCGTCTTTTGCAGTTTTTATATATGGAATAGCAAACTAAAAATTTCCAGTGGAGTCTCTTTGAAGAGAAAAGAAACGAAGAAAAAAATCTCTAGCAGCTGTTACTTGGTAAAAAATTCTCATTACGAAGAAAGAGATAATAATTTATAAATAATGGCTAAAGCTTTTTATTATGCAGAGATGTTCTTTAAGTTCTAATTGAAAAATAATATGTTTTTTTATGTCTTTAGTCTTTCAGCTAGTGTATGTACAATAGGACGTCCGTTTCCTTAAATTTTTCTCTGTTTAACTCTGCTAGATAGAAAAGAGTTTTTTTAATAATCTAATAAATTAATTCCATCTGTTCTGAAGCTGTGTCCAAAACTGCTTTCTTGTGTTAATATGCTAATTTTAAAGGTATTAAGAGAAAAAAAGGTATAAAAAGCATTCCTAATAAGAATGAGAAAAAAAAACTGAGGTTTTTTTTGGAAGTTAACAATATTATCCATATAAAATTCAAACTTATGTCAGAGTATTATTCAATTAGTTTCCTGTCGATGAGCATATTTAAATTGCTGCAGTAAGTCCTATTCGACCATTCTTAGTAGATTTGCTCTAGTTCTCTCATCTAACAAGGGCATACTGAGAGGGCAGGAAGGTCTGCCCCGTACCGCTGACGATGGGGAGTGAAGAACCTTAAGTTTTCAAATATGTGAACCTTAAGTTTTTGAGTTAAGAAATATTAAATGGTCGAAGCTAAAAATTGGTCTGCATTCAAAATGTTAAATTACATTGTGGAAATGCGCTTTCAGCAATCAGGCAGACAGTATTTACATGTTTTTAGATTAATTTCGAGAAGGTTTAATTTATGTTTAACATGTAAAATGTATTTTTTCTAAATGTTCAATCTGAAATGCCTTTTTCTGAACTATAAGTGGGCATCGCGATTTCCATGATTTCTTAAAATGTCTAGGGGTATTGATTTCCATTCATTTTCTTCTAGTTTTCAGATTCCATCAACCGAGATGTGTTTGCGCTTAGAAAGATATCTTTCCGGTAAACCAAACGCACATAGGTGAAAAGTCAGGAAAACGATGAAATGATATAACACATGTCCCATAAGTATCGTTGCAAACTTTAAAGCAAATAGTGCGTGCAAAAGAGATTGAGAATTGCGCATCAACCCATGACAGGAAACGTCATGGGAAAGTGGTATCAGAGATGCAAGAAATGAAGGGACACAAGAAAAAAAAATACTAGAAATATTTGTTGTTCATAACTATTACATAATATTATAGTAGGTATCACTTCAAAATCTTACAAAAGATGTTCACAATTTACTGCAGTACAAGTTATGCATGCTTTACACCAACAGACCTTGGACTGACGGACGCGGTCAAAAAAAGCTGGATCTACTTAGATACCTAGGGCGGCGCAGATAGTTCTTGAAATCATGTCCATTTCAGGTTCTACAGAAGTTTCATTCACAACATCTTTAAATACTCCGCAAAGAATGAAATCCAGGCTGCTAAAATCCGGAGAGCGTGGGTACCAGGCCACTGGGCAACCACGCTTAATTCTTCTTTGACCAAAGGAAACTCACGAATGTTTCCGAACACATATTCCGTAATGGAGAGACGCCCCATCATGTTTAAACAGCATGATGTTTATCACATTTTGAGGCACAGGATAAACTAAGCCTAACAGACCTGTTCCAAAGATATCAGGTAATTTTAGATGATGTCAACAGGTAAGACCAGAATAAGCAGTCGAAGAACAAACCACCCCAAACATTTTTAACAGTCTCTGTGAATAGAACGAACTAGCGGCGAATGAGTACATTTACGGTCATGGGTTTCTATTACAATTCTAAATACTTTTGACTTACCTATCTGCCCTTAAAATTGTGTCAATATTTATAGGACGTCTTGCATTTGCAATACATGTACCAGTCTTCATTGCTTCAAGGAAGGCAATGGCACTTTTTGAAGTATAATTCGTTGATTTGTCTTGATGAAATTTCACTCTTTGAAAATCATTGAGATAAAGAAATAGAATTTCTTCTGTGTATATCGGAAGTAGTATTTTTTCCTGGATAGTACGTTGTGCCAATCATAAGACCTGATTGATTTCTTTTCATTGACAGAACCAGGTATGTATACGTTTTCCTCTTTATTTTCGATGATAAATAGACTTTTTGTTGTTAAAGTCATTTAAACAAATAGCCCATACTTCATCAACAGTCACATTTATTTCCATTTATCTTCTAAACAGGTTTCATACAGGGTTTTCCAAATTGTTTTGCTTTGAGCCACATGCCTTGTCAAAAGCTTACAAATGATTTTTGCATCGGCGGATTTTCTCTTGTTAACAGCGATTTAACTTTAAAAATATTAAGAACATTTTTCTTTCTAGGGTATTCGTTTTCCATGTAGAAGTAATGACGTTAAAAAGAAAGAAATTAAATGAGTTTCTCAACAAATTTCATCTACACTTCTGTATCAGGAATAATAAAAGCGTAGATGTCCAAAAAACGAAATCGAATACTCGAAACGCATTGTAAAAAATATTAATCATCATCTATATAAATACATCAAGAAAGCAGCACTCTTTCACTATTCGTGATTTAAAATCATAGATGAAATTTGTAAAGAGAATTAATTACTTTTGGTTCTCATAAAATTGTATGAGAATTTTCTCTTTATTTAGTTCATTAATTATTTTATAAGTTTTAATTAAAAACTTATAATATCTATCTATATGTATATATATATATCTTGTTACGTCCGTAGGGGTTCGTAATAGATTGCATGCATACAGATTCGATGAAATTTATTTTCCGAAAACACTTCACAGTTCTGAAACTTTCTATACAAATGGTACTCGTACAGCTCATCTGAAAATGACAGAGCATAATCAGTCATTACCGCTTCAGAGTAATAAAAACAAAAAAAATAGACAATACAAAATGCCTCAGGAGAGAAACGTATCGAATGCCATTTATCTCATTATTAAAACGGAGTTAACCCTGCACTTCTGTTTTTGCGGCAATACTTTGATTTCTGAGACCTTTCATACTGAGCGCCGCCTGAGATAACCACTGACTTTGTTGTAAAAGTCTTACAGTGTTAGTAGTCATCCTGGCAGAAGGGAAAATTTCCTCCGTGTAAAAATATACATATAAATATTACATGGGCATACAAGGCCTGTGTATAAGCATAGATATGTTGATTACAATCATTGTCTTGTACAAGTTACATATGATAGATACATAAAATCATGACAGCTATGTGTACATTTAGACATTATATGAATTCATATTTACAATGCTTTTACTAAGATAATCAAAATTAAACTTGTAATTAATTTACACATTGACTGGATTTTCAATATCATTTAAACTACTTTACAATATTATTTTTATCAAGTGCATATAAACTGGATAGTAATATTGTAATGACCCCTTGCGGATTAATAAGGCACCATGAGGAAAACGACACCAACATTTATTAAAAATTAACTTTCAAAGAATAATGAAAAAAAAAATTAACATTTAAAGAATAAAGGCAAACTCGGAGCACTACCTCGCTCCTACAACATAATTAACCTACAACCTGCCTCCTCTGAGGCTAACATGCAACTCTCTTTCTCTCTCACTTGCTGGGCTCTGCCGGGCAGCTGATTGGCTCACCGCTGCCAGATACATGACACCCCCCGGTAAGATTGTGCTACGCCAAAGCGAAGCAGAATCTGAAAACTGAACCAGCAAATACAAACTTAAATTGTATACTCCGCATACCAAATTAATTCAAAATATAGGAACATGTATACATGACATAATAACATACTTTGAAATAAATGCAATAAACATTCATCTCACAACAGATGAACAGATGGCTTGATACAATACCGGAGTTCTGTAATAAAACATATATGCAATACTATTTCAAAACACACTATTATAATGCAATATTAAATGGAAACCAGTAATTGGATTTTCAAAACAGATGGAAAGTAGCTCTCGTACAATTCCGGAACAAAAGAAAGTAACTAATGCAAAGTTTTAAAACATATTAGTTCATACTTAGTTCACACCTATTTCATTCACCCACTAGTCTTGAAAGACCATCTGCATTTTTTAATTGTTCACCAGGGCAATGAGAAATATGAATATTATAGCGCTGAAGTGCCATTGCCCACCTCTGTAATTTAGGCTGAATGCGGTTGCCGACTTATACAAATATAATAATGGATTATGGTCTGTGATCAGCTCGATATTCGATCCAAACACCCAACACTCGAACTTTTTTAATGACCACACAATGGCATAAGCCTCGCGTTCAATAGTTGACCAGTTCTGCTGAGTTTTCGAAAGTTTTTTGACTGGCAAAGCTGATAGGATGCAAACTGCCTTTGCTGTCTCGTTGTGACAAGCAAGCACCAACACCATATGAACTAGCATCACACTGTATGGTGTGTAAGGTTTTTTCTGGTTCTGGAGTGTACAGTTTTGGTGCTTCACACAGTCGACGTTTCAGTTCTTGAAATGCTGATTTCTCTCAACATCAGTCCATGGAATTCTCTCAGGAATTTTCTTTTTCGTAAGCTCCGTCAATGGGAAGCGAGCTATTTCTGCATAATTCTTTATGTAATCACGATAATAGTTGAATAAGCCTAATGCACTCTTTAGAGCAGTCTTTGTTTTAGGAGCTTTTATAATTTCAATGGCTTGTAATTTTTCAGGA